CTTTTTTGTAGTCAATCCAGCACATGGAGAGGTTGCGGTGATAAGTTTTAGCCTCTTCCAAAATCATTTTCTGTACAAGAAGTTGATCCTTGCACCCCCAACATCCCTTTCTTGCTCCCTTCTGCTCTCTGTAAATGATATCATTGGAAGAGCAGTAAGATGACACGAGGTTTGTCAAACACCCTGTGAATATTTTGTATTGTGTATTCAAACATGTGATAGGGCGGAAGTTTTTGGGATCAGTCAAGTCTCCTTTCTTGGGGAGAAGTATTGTGCGACCTTTGCAGAACCATGGAGGAACATCACCTGTGTCCACGAGAGTATTAAAACAGTGTAGTAACGGTGTTTGGACACAGGGGAACAGTTTCCAATACCGGTTTCGAATGCCATCAGGCCCTGGAGCTGTATTAGATTTGGACTTTTTTATAACACTTTTCAGGCAATCTGGTGAGATGTAACAGACAAACGACCTAGTTACCTTCTCATGCATTGCATGGTCATAATCACGGACCCATGGTGCCTCAAGGTTACAGTTGCCGGGTACAGACCACAACTGTTTCCAGAACCTTTCATTGGCATCCATGGGAGGCCGTTTGTCATGTTCACCATCACCTTTTGTTTTCAGTTGCCTGTAGAAGTGTTTTTCATTGGTTCTAAAAAGTTTATTTTGTTTGATGAATTTATTTTTCTTTTCCCATTTTTTCTTTCTTTCAGTCCAAACCTTTATTTTGGCCTTAAGGGAATCGACAATTTGGAGAAGTACCTTTTCTTTTGTTGTCTTGTATTGTAATTTTAATTTTCTCCAAATTGACTTTTGCCGTTTTGACATTGGACTCCCTGATGATCTTAACTTCAGGCACAGTTCTATCCAGGAAATGTATTTTCTAGTTTCCGTTAGTTTTACTTGAAACCGGTTTTTCTTTGGTGTTTTGTTCTTAGTGTTAGATGTTTTTTCTTTGGAAACTGTGTGAATTTCCTCCAAGGTTCGAGCGGCAGCATAGACACAACAATTAACTTCATGTAATGAACAGTCCGATGAAAGTTTCATAGAAATAATATCATTTAATAAATTGATTTCATTTTTTTGGGAAAAGATTCATTTGTTTGTTTAATTGGCCTCCGATTTTCTAAAGGTATGCCAGATATTTCATCATAAATAGAATGAAACAAAATATACACAGGGTTTTCGGAAATATCTGCGACTGAAGAAGAGGAAGAGTGAGGGTCTGAAATTTCGGGGCCAATTAGCTCTTTGTCGGAAGAGTTTCCATCAGCAAGAGGAAAGAGGTTGACACGGACGTCCATTAGAAGTTTCGGGTCTGCTGCCACTTGAGCATTCTGTTCATGCAAAGGTTCCTGACGGGCACCAGTTGTGGGTTGAACTGGCTCACGGGGCAAGAGATTTTTCAGCCGCCGGAATTGATCTCGAAGATTTTGCTCCGTCAGGTAAGCATACATGGGCATGGCATTGTCCCAATGCAGCTTAAGCGACTTGCCATTTATTCGTGGATTATCAGGCCATCCTGTCGCTTTCGCACACTCTAGTAGTGTGGATTTTAGATGGTTTGACCAAGATATTCTTGGTCGGGTTCTGTGCCTTCCCCTGGGGCAAGTCCCATCTCCAGTAAGGTTGGTTTGACTACCGGAGGAAGGCTGACTGGGCTGCGGAAGTGAAAGACTATACTCTTCTTGGCTGTTAGTAACCCAGTGAAAAACCAGCTTCGGGGGGGGTCAGCCCTAACTGGGTGATGTACGTTTGGTTCAGGGAATATAATTCCCCTATCTAGGCCCACCACGGAGAGGCGTACATCATCAGGCCCTTATTATTATTATTATTATTATTATTATTATAGGATATTTATATAGCGCACATATCAACGCAACTAGTACATGCTCAAGGCGCTGGAATGTTTCCTTGATCAACGGATGTCTTTTTTTCTGGCAGTTGGTATTCAACTCATGCAGCCTGTTAATCGAGGCGAGTTATCACACAGCCTCATCCCCACAAGGTCTGACAGGGGTATTTCTTTAATAATTTCGATGATTGATTTGCTGATCATAACAGAAAACATGATTTTATGAACACCTTGTTTACTAATAACCATATGAAAATCCGATACTGTAACACCTTGTTTAACAATGTCTTAAAGTGTCAACTATAATGTGTGGAAATGAAGCTTCACTCGTTCCCGGTATCGCCCAATTCAGTTTATTAGTGTTCGAATCAGGATGGGCCGTCGTGATTGACAAGTCTCTTTGACATCGGCAGTATTTCAGCCATTTAGTGGTCAAAACAAGTTATATATTCATGACACATAAATAGAGAACATAAGACCATGTTTAAGAACTACATTAAAACCAACCAGAAAGTCACAGGTATAGATGCAAAACCAGCATGTAAATCTAAAACCACAGACAATACAACATCTAAAACAAGCTACAAATCGTCAACAACTGAAGATACATCACCGCACCGAGGACCACTGGGTCTTACGGTACGTTCGCTTTCTGCATGGACCCTAGCTGGATTTACACTTCAACCGTTTACGATTGTGCCATTAATATATTTAGAAACATATTCATCAACACATTTCAAACACGACAGTAATATGAAATCTGTAATAAATACAATATTAATCTTCTCAGAAAGATGCTACATGGACATTGCACATTTTCATGAACCAGCAACAGTTTCATTCCACTGCAAGGACACCATATATTTGTATTTTCTGTCATAGGAACCTGGCAGCTGATGATGTAAGTTGCACTTCTGTTGGGTGCCAAGACACTGTGACATCACACTGCCACAAACATATCGGTCATATATTTTAAGATGATTTATATTATTGAAAAATTTTGACCTTCCCTAACGATAAATCTATGTACACTTGAGGGGTAAAACATTGAGTTGGAAAACATACCCTCCCTGTTGAACCTCCTGCACACCATTTTATGATGGCAATATTTATGAATGTTATTCACAATTTCTGTTCGGAGTGACAAAGTAACCCCTCTCAAATATGTTGAACGTATGATTCAGGTATAGCACTGAACTGAACTACTCATTAATGTAATAATTTCCCACTAGACCGTAAGATAAATGGGATGGCTTTAACTTTCTAGCAGTCAACTTCTCTTTCGTGTCGAGTAATATTAATATTTCAGCAGCTCCAGCCTTGGTAGTAAACGTTTACAACGTGTGAGGTATAATCGAACATGGTCTTTCTTTGAAGAATCGTCGTTCGACTCCTGCTCCAATGGTCTTTGATCAAGGTTACAATTTTCAAGACATCAACTTTGGTAAACATGACAGCTTCGACATTACTATATGTGAATAGTCCGTGACAACAATGATGCAATATGTTATTTATTTGTGTCGTCTGTGCTCTTGTTGTGTCATGTTAACCATCGACTTGGATTTGCTCATCATCTGCTCATCAACAGCTGGTATTATCTTATTTTGAGTATTGATTCATAAACAAGTCCTCATGATATAGCTGAAATCATCAAATCCACTCTGTTTTGTCACAGATTTCTTCATACAAATTTTTTTGTCGCTTATATTCTCTTAAACCTTGTCACGTGATGTTACTTAACTATTTAGTCAGTTAAATTCTGTGGTTCGCAGACATAATAATGTTGTGAAATGCAGTGCACATTCTCAACTCTGATTATACGCATGTTCGTTATGGAGATGAGGAATGATTCTTATATGGATAACAGAGAAGCGATCATGCAAAAAAACAAACAATGATTCCATTACTAATATCCCGTTGTAAAAGTTAATGTCGAGAATCACCGGAAGGCTCGCATCAAATACAAGGATGTCATCAAGTCACTGTTTACCATTTTTAAGTGATTCACAAACCCGTTGTGATCTGATTGTAAGCTTATGTTCATGTTGTATGAACGCCGGCCAATATGTATACAAATGTCAGTTATCACCCTAAACGTCTCGTCAATGTATCCCAAATAACCGGTAGAGCAGGACATGCTTACAATCCGTCCATTATTAGAAACTTTAACACTACGTGTTTACGCATAAAAGAATTGCAGATTTAGAACGAGGTGAAATCCCAGTTTATCCATTACGAAGGATGACCAATGTTTACACACTTCCCTCAATCTCAGGAATAATCAGCACCATAATGTGTTCTCGGAAAATCAGAGAAAATCAACTGTGAACTCCATTCAGCTAATATGTTTAAATCCTGGAACATCAAAGAGTATCAGTTGCCTAACTCTTGATCATGTCGCAGATGCAAAGGTACGTGCAATTTACACTAGGTGATGTCAGATGTAAAAACAGGATTTAACGTCACGTACAAGATTATTTATGTGTATTACGACGTGCATCGACGTAGGTGAGTATGGTAAGTGCTTTCTTTTTAATTGATTAAGATGGTATGAAATCATAGATAGGCCTGAAGTTTACGTTAAACGCCTCGGCCAAATTCCCATGTATTGATTTGTCAATTCGAGCAGAAATTCCGATTCTGATATGTACTGATAATCAGATCAGCAAGGAGAGATGCATTTGTACCCCTGGGGATGTCGAAATATCATATCTCCAAATGTCACAAGATAGTATAAATTAGGAAAATAATTCACATGGTATTTTCTAAATGTCCGTCAAATCACACTTCCTTTCATTTTAAACATTTCGTAATGAGTGAGTGAGTTTGTATCGCTTGAGCCCGCTTTTAGCAATATTCGAGCAATATCACGGCGGGGGACACCAGAAATGGGCTTCACACATTGTACCCATGTGGGGAATCGAACACGGGTCTTCGGAGTGACGAGCCAACGCTTTAACCACTAAGCTACCCCTACGCCGCATTTCGTTCTGAACCTGAGAGGGTTCATTCATTCCAGCACATCTCTTTGTTGAATTTGAGTGAGAACTAAAATGAGCTGTATGGTTCAGATCTGTGACATGAATGTTTTATCGGCGTGGATTGTTTCTTGGATTCAAGGTAATAAATGCTCAAAAACAAAAGTCTGAGTAATTCGTTTATTAGGAACGAAGTTCTTGTTAAATGTTTAGCATATGTAAGTCCATGCAATATCCATCTTCTGAATGTACAGACAAATTAACAGTAGAATATACTGTCAAAGTGACCAAAGGGTTGATGGCAGTTTCTATACGTCAGTGTTCGGAGTCCCACGTCATCAGAAAATGTCATCAGTATTGCCTAATTGTATGTACTCTAAAAGTGATTTTGTGACCCCTTAGCCAGTTAACAGTATCTTTCTTCAATGACACAAATCACTGACAAAATAGTTTGAATTAATACATGTAACACTGCACACAATTTTCCAAAGATTAACAACGTTGATATTTTAATTCTATTTCAAAGAATGCCAGATTAAACAGAATAACTACAGTCTTAAGAGGAATGTTAATGCTTGGAATACACAAACTTAATGATAAAAAAATAATTAACAGTTACAAACAACTGCATACATGTTTGACGGCTGGTTTAAACAGGGAGAAAGGCCACCAGGATGAGGGGAAGGAGAAAAGCGATCGCACTGCACTTCCGCAGAGTGGAAACTCCAGCATCTACGAAAATAGGGAAAATTTAACATAGACAGTAAAGACATGAACGTAATACGGACAGGTTTCATTGCAAACGCATAACGTGCATTATTTATGTCAACTACTATGATAAGTATAAATATCGACGTCAATAACCTTGGGTAAATTAAGACAATAAAGCGTCCCCCAACAGAGTAGCATGTATCCCCGAGGAACAAGCAATGTGATAAGGTCAGCACAAAACCAGTTTCATAACTTTCCAATTTAAGGCATATGAAAACATACAAAATGAAAGTTCAGCTATGTTTATTTGATAGAAGTATATTTGTGTGAACTGTGCAGAAAAAAAAAATGTTTCTGATGATCGTCAGGCTTTGGTTATGAACATAATAATAAGTCACAAGACATGTTTCAGACTCAAACCAGATTTGCTCAAACGTACAAGGTTTTTATGTTCGGACCTTCTTCCTTTTTTTGCATTATGTACGGTATTATTCCAACGTGACAGGCGATTGATTGGTTTAATTTTGTTTCTGCAAACATTCCAGCAATACGACAGTGGAAGGGACAAAAGAACTGTTGTGAATCGAACACGCACAGTCCACATGGCTACCACACCGCCCTTATGTTATAAGACAACATTGATTAGGATATATCGACATCATACTTACTACATGTTAGGGATTGAAGTCTCGCCGTGGGGTACACAACCAGTGCAGATGCTTTGACTCCAGCCAAACAAGTGTCTTCTTCTCCTGCGTCGGTCAGGCATTTGATGTACGTCTCCAGCGGACTTAAAAAAAAAGATTTGTTGCTGTGAACTGAATAACAGGTCGAGTGTTTTTATACAAACTAATGTTGATAGTAAATTGAATTATATCCAAATGTAGATGTGTATAAGATTATAAAGGTAATGCGAATTAATATGGGGTAAACTGTGTATCATAATCAGGTATTTACTGGCAGGCATTGTTCCCATCGAGGTCACTTGCCCAGAAGGTTCTTTGGCATGAGCAAGGTGACTTCAATTCTGATGCTGAAACCAAAGGAGTCGTTACATTATGTTTTTTCTCTTAACATTTTGGGAAAACATCATTCAAAGTCTGACTGAATGAAAACTGGCCTTTGTACCTGTGCATTCCGAAAGAAAAGAAAGAGTTCGATGATATGGGTCTAATTTGGTCAGACGAGCAAGCGACAGGTGCAGAGATCGTATCCAGCTAGTTATCGCGCGGATTTTCAGCATATGGGCAACCATATTTACAGGTCGTAACAGTGTTGCCACGCCCCTTAGTTCACAATAGATTCACCTGTGCTCCCAGAAGAACCCATTAATCCATTTAAAGATGGTGGAAACATGAACAGGTACGCATAAAAATGGGTCATAAACATTCTGATGCACCGAGCGTTTGTTGGCTGAACTATATATTCAGTAAGGATCTCAAAATGAAAGTAAGTAATTATTACAATTAGGACGTTCTACACAGTGGACTTACAAGAATGTCATTTCAATCGGAATATATGAAAAAACAACATTTGCTAGATCATTTCTTACAGCAGGACGCGTCTTTGATTGCCGTGGCCTGAGCCGCTGTGAGTGTACACCCAGCTGACAGTCCCGCGGCTACCTCAAGACAATTCAGGTACGTTTTCAAGTATCTGTAAAAAACCGTATATTTCTAAACTTATTTTGACTCTAAGTCTAACATGGTCAGATGTAACGAACTGAATATTATATTAGATAATGGCTTCATCAACAAGGTTATACATGGAAGCACCCTTGTTATTTTTCTTTAGTCATACCGGACTGCACTTTGCTCAACCACAATCTACCTAAAATTGAAAGCTGAGTAAAACCCCTTTGGCAGACGGGGAACTACTTAGGACAACTATACTGTGTGTTGAACAGTGACTAAGTATTGTTGACACACTGGACATAGGTAATGTGATTGTAGACAAACTGATTATAGATGATATAGTTGGCGTAAAGGTCTTGTTCTAAGTGAGTTGCAGGCACACCGAGAGTAAGCAAAATGAGGGGTCACCGTTCAAGTTCACACACTAGACATTCGAAAAGAAACAAAGCTATAACCTTGCCCTGCAGATAATTGTCACTTACGTGCAGTCTGTATCTGACGATGCACCTTCGTATACATCTGTACAGGCAGAACAAACTGCAGCGTCAGCGTTGATATAAGCTGGTATGATGGAACCTTTTGTGCAAGATAAGTAAATGTCAATTCGTTAAACACTGCTACCAATGGGGCCTCTTTACGAAATAGGCATGGTTGCTTGCCTGGTAAAATATTCACCTCTACCACAAAATGACTGACAGAAAGATAGACAACATGATCAATATCGATAAAATTAGCCTTTCTCCAAGGCTGTACTGAATGCTGAGCCCATGGATGTATAGTAATTCTATCCTTTAAAGAGGCAAGTGTAGATAAGCTGACGCCAGTCTTTTATTTATGTTTTCAGAAATTATTATTTAAACTATTAATTTTTGCTTTAGAGACTTGTGAAACTCTGTGATACTATATATGTAGATGGATTGCTTGTGTGATCCTGAAGTTACAAATGCAATAAATACATCAGCTAAGATACAGTTGTGCATTGCCAGAAGCCATGAAGGTTATATTTTACAGTTTGGTGTAAATATGATATTACTTGTATATGTAACTCACATAAAAGCAGAGAAAACACCGCCATCGTCGACATCCTGTGTGCACCTGGTTGTTGTCTGGCCACACCCCGCCGTGGTACAGGCTCCCAACATGGGACAAGGACCTTTATAGCGTATGTTGCTATGGTGCACTCTGTTGATGGGGACACAAGCTTGAAGAACCTCTCTGTAATCTATGGAGTTGTTTCTACCTTTAGCTTTGCCACACAGGGTTTAGAGTTTTTATGGTCGTCTGTTTCTAAGATCGTTTCCAACCACTGAACACAGTAATGTTGACAAAAAGCGTTGGTTACGATGTCCATACTGTTTTGCCTTGCTATGCCCACGAAAAGAAAACAAACAAAAATGTGTCGAGACAAAATGTTTTCTGTCTCATATAATATTTTTTAAGACATTACACTAAAACGAAATAGTACTTGAATGCCTAAAATGAGTTTTGAACGTCACTGATCACGACACATTCCTGAAAACTGGTATGATTTAAAATTGAAAAGGTATTATTTGTTAAAATAAATATGATTAAGATTCTGCTCAGTGGAACATAATATTGCTGTCTAAATTATTAAAGGTATATATCACGAGTAGTTTAGGTCTACTTTTAAAATATCACTAATCACCTCCAGAATGTGTTGGGTTTAACAAAATATGTTGTTTCTTTGTGACTGTAAACTGTGCTTGTGTGTACTGGCTACAATTCACACCCGGGTAGTACTCAATCGGTTCTCTGTAACCAAGATACAATCATATAAATCATGAACTGTGACGTGACACTCTTGTTAACCTTTGGAATCTATAAACACTTGTACATGGCTATGTTCTTCAAAACGTGTCTATTGGTCGTTTTATTTTCTTGCATGCTGTTGATTGCTAACCATGCATCCTATAATATTGTTGAAAATATTCTGCACTCTCCGGATGATTTATGTTTATTAAACGGATTGAAGAAAATGGATTATGTGGCTCGCACGAAGTACCAGACACGTAAATGCACGACTTACTCACACACACACGCCACAAAGTGAGTGAGTGAGTTAGGTTTTACGCCGCTTTTAGCAATATTCCATCAATATCACGGTGAGGAACACCAGAAATTGGCTTCACACATGGTACCCATATAGGAAATCGAACCCGGGTCTTCAGCGTGACGAACGGACGCTTTAACCACAAGGCTACCCCACCGCCCCCACACCACAAAGGAAATCTGACTTCGTGCACGTCTGATCCTGGAATATCTAAGTGATATCATCAATTGCAGATCATATTTACACGTACCTCCTCTTGCCAATAGTGTTACAGCTCTGTGTTGTATACACCCAATATATATACTATCCCAAAAAAGAAGCGCATAGGTGATTTGTATTTTTTAAAATCTATTAATTACTTATTGTGTTCAAACAATCTTCAAAATAGGTAACAACAGTGTTGATAACATGATTGTACACAATTGCATAAGTGAAAAATCGACTTTACCTGAAAATATTGATTTTGATCATTTCTTACAAGGATTAAAAAGGCATCGCCACAACACAACAGAAATCACCTTCCAGTTGAAATTGTGCAGCAAAGAGCATGCGCTGTCTGGCTATAAAAATCCAGATTACTATCGGAAATTGGCATTTGTTTTGAAGGAGTTTCAAGGTCACATCACTACGCCACGTTTTGACGCTGCGACACGGAACATCGCCATTGAAAGAATGCAGGCTAGAGATTACCAAGTCTGAGCACGATATCACGGCTTGCAGCTCGTTACAACCAAGCAGGTATAACAAATGACCGTCCCCGTACAGGCAGACCTCAAGTCACCACTGCAGCCCAAGATCAATGCATCCGGGTACTGCATTTGTATGATCGTACTGCCACGGGTGATAGCACAGCAGCTAGGGTGCCTGGACTTCGGAGGATGTCCGGTCAAACTGTACAGAACAGGCTGAAAGAGATTGGTGTGAGAGCCAGGAGACCGGACGTGGGGACCGTGCTACGTCGTCACCATCACTTAACGTCTCCGTTATCTAAAAATATCCACTTGGATGTATAGACATTACCTTCTTCTAAACATGCACTTAAGTCTATTTGTGGACGAGTAATACATGTTTGAAAATACAACATCCTCGCAACAGATTTCTGTCCTATGCGTTTCTTTTTTTGGATAGTATATTAAACTACTACGAACTCAAAGAGACCACTTTTTTCAGCTCGTTATAACCGAAGTTTGTTTTACTTGTATTTCGACTGAACAATAGGGCAAGTGGCAGAAACCAAACAGTTCGTTAAATCCGGCATTTCCTTACAAGCGTGTTAGTTTTAAACCTAGTATACTGCATGACGCAATAGAAACTGCTGTTAGTCATTTTATAGAAACAAAGGAACTCGGCTTAATAGGATGTGAGTTAATATTATTGTATTAGGGTGAGCCTTTGGATATCGGGGTATCTCTATTATATACGGGAAGCAGGGGCACCAAAGGCATAAAGCCTAACCGTAACATTGAAGTTCCATAGGAATATCAATGGAAATCTTATATTCTCAAAAAAGTGTCTGACCTCCACTCATAGTCAATTTAGTTTGCTGAAGTAAAGGCTTACACTTAACTCGAGTTAAAATTAAAATTTTAAGTAAAAAAAGTAAAACATTGTTTTGAGCATAATGATCTAAACCTCAAGTGACGTGAAACCCCAAGTGACGTGAACAGAAACCAATGATAGGCCTGAGCAAAATCTGCCATGATTGTATGATTTGACATGTCCTCAAATGAAGTTAAAACCAAAATTGTAACCATATAGTAGAACTATCTAGCAGGGATTCAGTTTGTTTGTTTGTTGGTTAACTCCGCAGTATCATACTATCTGACACATTCAGGAAACAGGTATTTCTCTTGTGACCATCGGATTCATGCTAGTTGGTTTGTTGCTTAACGCCGCACTCAGCAATATTCCAGCTATATGGCGGCGGTCTGTAAATAATCGAGGACCAGACAATCAAGTGATCAACAGCATGAACATCGATCTACGTAATTTTGGATACGATGACATGTGTAAACCATGTCAGCGAGCCTGACCACCTGATCCCGTTAGTCGCCTCCTGTGAAAAAGCATGGCCAATTCATGAAAACGAAAACAAAACATTTGCGATTTTTTAACCTTATTTTTCGGGTTATACAGTAATATTTATTTCTGTTGGAATGAAGCAGAAATAGAGTTGTGGTTTTTGTTTGAAGTAGTTCTGATTTGCATGCGCCAAAATGAAATCCTTCCAGAGGGGCACGAGTCGGTATTCGACCTGACTCGGAATAACACGAGTTTGTTATAAATGGCTCAAATTCGTGATCCATTTGTGTTGTTCTGGGCCAAGCCGAAACGCGCCCCTCTGGAATATTCGTCACCATTCATTCCTTTCCGTAACAGCCAAGATGTTCCCCTATCGATGAAAATACGACAAGCCAAACAGAATGCACTTAAGGATTATTGATAAATGTAATCCCGAGTACTAAAATCGGTTATGGCATTATATATACGATTGTTTCATAAATCATGGAAAATATATGTCGTTATTTTGAGATTTTACGTGCACTTTCCGATGTCGTATTTTCGCACATTACATTCATAGATCGGGGAACAAGTCTTGGATGGTACGGAGAGGCAGGAGTGGTGACGAATAGGGCTGCTGAAGAGGTATTCTAACGCTGTTCTTTACGGGTAAACTATATACGTAAACGTCCTTTGTTGACATGTTTTCTTGTCTTATTTTGAATCATTTTTGTCCCAAAATTCAGGGACAGGTAGATGGCGACGAATCCCAGTAAATGATAGAAAATGTACTCTGTGTAACCTAAATGGTACTGATGACGGATTTCATTATGTATTTGTCTGTCCCCAATTAGAATTAGAAAAATAGATTCACAAGTATTACTATGCTAGACCGAATAAGTATGAAATGAATACCCCTATTTATGACCAATAAGCTAGGAGAATTGGTCGGAGGGTTAGCTTAATGGTTAAAAGCGTTGGCTCAAATCGCGCCAAAGACCCGGTTCTTCGATACCCATGGGCACAATTGTGAAGCCATTTCTGGTGTCCGCCACGATGTTGCTGGAATATTGCTAAAAGCGGAGTAAAACCAAACTCAGTCAGTCAGCCAATAAGTTAGGAACTTGAAGAAAACTTTCATTGTTTTGGTAAAATAATTATGGCTTTATTTTAGACTGACTGACTGAGTTTGGTTTTACGCTGCTTTTAGCAATATTCCAGCAACATCACGGCGGGGTACCCCAGAAATGGGCTTCACACATTGTGCCCATGTGGGGACTCGAACCCGGGTCTTCGGCGTGACGAGCCAACGCTTTAACCATTAGGCTACCCAACCGCCCCCTTTATTTTAGAAATAACCTCAATATCTTAATATGTAACTTGTTTGATGTACATTGCTTTTAGCATACTGTTTGTATATAACTTTTATGTTGTATGATGTATGAATGGAAATATTGTTTTGGTCCTCTTAAGCTGCAGTTTGCAGTAGAGCAAATGGAGTTCAGTTCAGTCAATTTGTAGCCCCAAATGGGAATGTTTCAGCTGCAGTTATCTGTATGGTATACAACACCACTTGTATTGATGGTTTATTGTTTATTCTTCACGTCATCTGTTGTGTTATATGCTGACGCCGTGACACCGTGACGATCCGAGAAGATTAGTTAGCGATCACCTTTAATTGTTTGCCTCGCTGAGACATGTTTTTCCATCGTAAATGTTACTCGAATGTTACCACCAGTGATGGCAGCCAATTCAAACAACTGCTTACCAAGAGTGCTGCCGATTGTACAAGGAAATGACAAGTGACATGCATCGCGATGTCGTTTACCAGGCTTACGTTTGATTACGATTAGTGACGTCAATACAGTCAAAAAGTGTACTTTATCGCCTGATCTTTCAGCGTAGCGTCTTAGAATCAATAATAAAAAATAGGATAATGTTGTCTCCAAAAAGTTGTTATCACTGATAACTGTCGACTTTGTCACCAGGAAATCTGTCGTTAACGATCATATGGAGGACACACAATACTACTCTTACTGCTCAATATAAAGATCAGTTTCTTGACCGAGATTCTTCTCACCACATGGCACAAGAACGGCCTGAACAATATCATATTTACATGTATGAATACAGATACAAACTGCGTGTGCAAAGTAAGC